TTTATAGTTCCAAAGTTAATTGGAAAATTATTTCAAAAATGTTCAGGTTTTTAGTTCTAAGGGTCATAGATGGAATATTCTTGAAATATTGAAGAATAAAGTTCGGGTTTTTTTAAACAAATATATTTATTTAAAAAATCTTCAAATATTCTTAAAATGTCCAAGAATTACGTCCTACTTCGGTATGTGACAGAAAATTGGCTATGTATGTCCAGATCTTCGTATAGCTTCGTATAGCTACATAACGGTACCTCCCCATATTCCGTATTTTGATGAATTTATCGACATTCTTCACCGGAATTGTTTCAAATTTCGTATTAAAAGTTCGTAATAGGTGGTACAGCCTGTGACAGAAAATTGGCTATGCAGGTCCAGGTCTCCGTATAGGTTCCCTATTACGGTACCTTCCTATATTCGGTATTTTGAGGATTTTGACGACATTATCCACCGAAATTGTTGGGAATGTTTACTAAAGCTTGTCACCGAAAATTAACTTCCCATTTTCGGTATTTTGATGTGTGTGCGACACTATTCACCGAAATTGTTACGAGTTTCGTATTTAAGTATTGTAATGGCCTATGACAAATGCACATCCACGTTTTCGTATAGACTCCAATATAACGGTTATTGTATTCTTAAGATTTTAATAGACTTGCTAACAGATTTTTTATCTCCAAATTCGTTTTTAATGGTGGAGGGTATTCACAGTATGGCCCGACCGAACTTACTGCTTTTTTACTTCTTAATATCAATTTCTACACCATGGATCCCTAGAAGGCTCATTTGTAGAATACCATTCAATATAGCTACTATTAGAAGACCTTATATTTTCCGAAAGGCTATTTGATCAGCATCTATGCCCTGAAAAGAAAACTTCATGAACATTTTTCAAATCTTCAGAGACATTTTAAAAGACTCTCTGCCATGTCCTTTTTAAAGAGTTTTTTAGACTTCAACGATCACCTAAAGGACCTTTAACTAGAAAGTGTAAAAAATTGAATAATTTTGGAAAGGTGGTTCTACGATTGAACTTAAAAATTTGGATTATTTTTAATTGCCCAATCGGACCAAATGTCATTCATAAATTCATTCCCGAAATAAAATCTCCATATAATGGCAACCCTGCATACCATTTGAATATTTATTCAAATTTAATTCCACTTTTGCCTCTTTTTGTTCTCCTTTTTTTAATGATTTTTATGTTATAGGTCTAACTGTCCCCATGGTACTATATCCGTTTTATATTTTATTTTATTTGAAAAAAAAAAAAAAAAACGGAAACAGCAAAACGAACTCAATAACTTTTCCTTTATTATATTTTGGGTATTCATTACGGTCTTGTTCATTTTACTTTTTGTTTTATTTATTTTTTCTTTTTTTTTGTACTTTGGCTTTATTGTGTTCCATTTCCTTTCAACCGCCATCACCACCTCCACCATCCTCCGGGCCAAATTTTACCTATGATATATGGCCAACATATTAAATTGTTTCAATTTTGTGAAATAACAAGTTTGATGAAGTTTGAAGAGGTCGGTGAGAAGCCCTGGCACACTCTCAAACAAGCTGCACAAATTGTTATCCTCCCCCGCCCCTCTTCAGCAGATTTGTCTATTACATTTTGGTTAAAAGCATTTTTTCGACAAAAATATTTCTCCAACCACAAGGAAACTGCACAATCTAAAGCGATTTTTTTGTCAGAATTTTCCCCTTTTTGTGGATATTGTAATTTTATGTTTAATAACTTTTTTAGAAAAAAGTTCGTCAGAGAGCTACCTTTTGTTAGGACACAAAAAAACCGAAGTTCGCTCAACTTATTCACTGTTTGAAATGAGATATTGTGAAATGAAAAATGAATGGTGAACAGAACAGAAAGTTTTATAAACCAATTTCGAAAAATAGAATAGAAAAAGGAAAAATCCATAAAATAATGCCTTTGTTAAGTGGTTCAATGAGCGTAATCTCTCATCCTCGGAGAATTTCAATGGAAAGAGATCCTTTTTCCCTTAAATACAGAAAGTTTATTATTCTCAAATGAAATGGCATCACATTTGTAATAAAACCATTTAAAATGGCATCTTTTTTCCCCAAAGTAACTCCATAAAGTATGCTTTAAATTTCTTTTCTCGATTTGTTTACGCCCCAAAGATATGCCATAGTAAAATATACATTTTCATTATTTCTTAGAAAAAGTAAAAAAAAAAAAACGAAAATGAAACGAAAAAAAGTTATTTCATTTCATTTTTCATTAAATTTCGCAGCCAAAGCGAAAAACAAATTCCAGCTGTTAGTGGTTGTCAAAACCACAAAAAATTAAGCGATAAACAAAAGTTTTTTTTGTTTGGTTTGGTTTATTCACATTTAAAAGCGAAATCTTAATGGAAAACTTTTTCACTTGTAACTTCACATGGCGCAATGTATTTCTTTGTAATTTCATTTTTATAATGTGAAATATGAGAGTTGAATTGAAAGATAAGAAATTAAAAAAATAAAATAAAACACCATGGTGTTGACATCTATCACAAAAAGGAATTTGTATATACTTCTAGAGGAGTTACTCTTAACAACAGGAATGTTATGGAAATGAAAAATGAGACCAGGTTGATAAAAGTTGCGTAGAATATGATAATCAAATCTATAGCTCTGGAAGTCCTGGAGCAATTTCAATTGTTTACCTTAAATGTGCAATTTAACTATTCTGAAGTTCCATGAAAAAAAAAAATATCCACGCTAATTTTTTTGGAGGTCCTCGAAACTATTCCTTTTAATATTATTTTCTGACAAATCTACTTTAACAGTTCTGAAGGTCCTTAAAATAAATTTCTCAAAAACTCCACATTTATTGTTCTGAGAAAAAATTTGTCAATGTGACACGAACAGTTCCAGTTTTATAGCCCAAACCGTCCTTAAAAATATTCTTTAAAAGTTAAGATTTATATTGCTCGAAGAAAAATCCTTAAAAAACAGTTTCATAGCACTAATAGTCCTTTTAAAATATCTTACAAAATCCACGCTAATGACACTGATGTTCCTTGAAATTTACGTTATTGATCTTTATTTTCCTTGAATAAATACCCTTTAAAAATCCACCTTCTTGACCCTTATATTCCTTAAATAAATATAATTTAAAAATCCACGTTAATGACACAAATTTTCCTTGAATAAATATTCTTTAAAAAATCCACGTTAACGACACTTATGTTCATCGAATAAATATCCTTAAAAAATTTACGTTATAGCCTTTGTGTTGCTAGAAGAATTATCCTATAAATTTTAATGTTTATGATACTGACTGTCCTCAAAAAATATTTTTAAACAAATCTCATCCCCTAATGTACCTTATAAAGTAAGCTTTCAAAATTCACGTTCATGGCTCTGAAGGTCCTTTAAAACACACTTTAGAAAACCACATTCACAAAAATCCACATCCTTAAAGTTATTTAATATTGAAAATTACCGTTTATGGCCCCGATTTTTTATAAATGACCTTTAAAAGTTTTGCGCCTGATGGTCAACTTTAATACATACCACTAATGCTCATTGAAAAAATATCCTTTACAATCTACTTTTAAAATCCTTATGGTCCTTTTAATCTCTAGTAGTCCTCAAAATTATTCTTTAAAAATCCGGGTTCATGACCTTATAGTGCTTGTGAAAATATCCTTTCAAATCAAGGTTCATGGCATTGATGGTTTAAAAAATATCCTTTAAAAATCTCTGTTCATAGTCCTAATGGTCCTTGATATAAATATCGAAAATATTACAAAACCAAAGTTGCGACTCTATTGGAACATAAAAAAAATCTACACCTTCATGACATGCTCTTCCTAAATTATATACTTCACAAAATTCCTTCCATTGCTCCCCGGACCTCCTATATGTTAAGTACCTACCCACATCAACAACATGGCCGAACAACAATCATTTAAGTGGATAATATGCTCCTTGTAGTCCTCAAAACTCTCCACTAACCAATCTACCCGATTATCATCACTCCATCAGAAACTCATTCCCATTTCACCTGAATATTATCTCTTTACAACAATTGTACAAAAACAAAAAAATTCCTGATGAACAATTTGCAATCTCTATTAAGTATTTGATCCCCCAAAAGTATGCTTCGATTTAACCATAAAACAATTATCTACGAAAACAACAAATCTTTCTTGCTCGACAACAACCCAGAAGCAAACAGGCTTTTAGAGAACATTTAAAAGCAAAACACAGATTTCTAAGTTGTACACACACAGCTTTGGTAGTAAAACTACTGCATACCTTAGGGGATTTTTATTTTTGTTAAAACAACATTCTGACCCTAATGGAAAATTGATTAATTTCTTTTTAATTGATCATGTTCCTGAGTCAAAACAAAGAATCCATTGTTTACATTTAGCAAAGCAATGTATTTTCTAATCACTGAACATAAACACCCTAAGGTATACTCTGTCTAATATCAATTAAAACATTTACTATGAAACCTTGGAATATTTTTTTCATATTAATGACCGAAATGGATACCATGCAAAAATTGTTTCCTAGAACATTTTTAAAGCATAGCCTTGGGCAGTGATAAGAAAACAATTATTTTATCGTTTGGAAGGCCCAGAGTTATTATTTCTTTTCTCTTCTCAGAATTGTAGTTACACACAAAACAATTACAAGTTTGCATGTTTAAACAAAATCAACAACTTTTGTTTGTAAACAAATAGTATGGCATACTTCAAGGCCACTCGGTAAGGGTATAAATACGCTGTCGGTCTAATTACACTTTAAAAATTCATAACTGTCTGTCTGATTGCCTAGGAAAATGTGAATTTTATTTCATGGGACCTCGAGGGGATTCTGTGATTTAGGATTTACTTAAAAAATACTTTTTTGTTTATTTAAATTTTGTTTTTCCGTCGGTTAAAAAAGTCTCTACCAACCATAAATCACCTTGAGCTAACCATTTCAATATCTCTTACCTTTGTGTTTGTTTTTTTTTATTTTCGTTTCCATTTCAGACGTGAAGTTCAAGAATTACGTAATGGTCATTTAATGGGCACCACGATTATCGGTGCCAATGGCAACAAGGAACGCCTCACCATCGAATGGCTGCAACAGTCGGTCGGCGAGCTAAGGAAACAACTTGTGGAATTGCAAACCCTTGCCAGCAATGCGATGCGGGACATCAACACACGCACCCAAAGCTGGGAGGATTTGACCACAATTCGTAGTGATTTCCAACAACTTAAGCTGGAATTAGCCGCACTCAAAGAACGCCAACAGCAGACCGATGTCTATGTGCAGGAGTTGCGTGAAGAGACCGTACAGCAAGAAGAGGATTACAAGCGTCTGGCCATGCACATCAGCCAACAGAAACAAATACAAAATTCTGATGATAAGGCCATCAACACAAACGAAGACCAGCAACAGCGACAACAACAAAGTTTGGAGGTAAGTAAACTTAGAGAACGAGAGTTGACGAAAATTAGATTTGTTTGACAAAGGTGACAATTTAAATGGGTTTTAAATATCATGAGATTAAGGACTTAGAATGGGGGGTGCGGACAAGTGGAACAAGTCTTTAAAGAAGAAAAATGATGACACCTGAAAGTATGCTATTACAAACGATTTTTCCTTTATCTTCTAACAACTACAAATGAAGAACAATTAGGATTTTATAGCAAATTGTTTTCATAGAAGAGCGGCTACATCCGTGAAGGGTTTCTAAATTCTAGAGGAACTTCTTCTGTTGGAAGATCAACTTTTTCATCTTCATTTTATGAAAGGATCTTTTAATACCCTCCACCATAATATGGAGGGTGGGTGCTACAGCCTATGACATATAACGGTACCTCCCGATATTCGCTATTTTGATGATTTTAGCGACATTATTCACCGGAATTATTTCAACTTTGGTATTTGATGTTCGTAATGGACGCTACAGCCTATGACAGGAGATTGTCTAGGCATGTCCATGTCTCCGTATAGCCCCCATATAACGGTACCTGCCGATATTCGGTATTTTGATGATTTTAGCGACAGTATTTACCAGAATTGTTTCTTACTTGGTATTTGAAGTTCGTAATGGGTGCTACAGCCTATGACAGGTCCACGTCTCCTTGCAGCCCCAAGGGTTCCTCCCGATATTCGGTATTTTGACGATTTTAGCGACATTATTTACCGGAATTGTTTAAAACTTGGTATTCGAAGTTCGCAATGAATACTACAGCCTTAAAAAATTGTCTGTGCAGGTCCACGTCTTCGTATAGTCTCCATGTAAGGGTACCTTCCGATATTCGGTATTTTGATGATTTTAGCGAGAATAGTCATCAGAATTATTTCAAATTTCGAATTTTACTACAGCCTAAGACAGAAAATTGTCTGTGCAGGTCCACGTCTTCGTATAGCCCCCGGTACTTTCCGATATTCGGCATTTTGATGACTAGCTACATTATTCACCGATTTTTTTTTAAAGTTTCGCATTTGGATATTGAAATGGCTTATGACAAATGTTACCTCTGCAGGTCCATGTCGTCGTATTGACCCTAATATAACAGCTAAATTCGGTATTTCTAATATTTTAACAGAATTTTGAAGGATTTTATTGTTTTTGAGAATTGTCAAATCCGTTCCAAATGGTAAAGGGGTATTTAAAGTTCGGTCCGGCCGAACTTACAGCTTTTCTTACTTGTTTTATCTCTGGTAGATCTAGTGACAGACCTTTTAAAAAAAGGAAACATCCTTAAAGTATTTCCTCTGCATAAATCCTGTTGAACTTCTTCTTGGAGACCTGGTGCGAAGGATCTTATATACATTAATGTGCTTCTGTCTGCTGAAGGCATGTTGAATATCTTCTATCTGTCGAGACCTCTTAAAGCATTCTCTCAGTGGTAGACTTCTTGAATGTATCCTCTCTGTAGAATTCATATTTGTTGAAGAACTTCTCCCTCTCTCTGGTAGATCTGAATGTCTTTCGTCTGTAGAATACCTGGGGAAAGTCTTCTATGAGTCCAGTTTTCTCATTGTATGAATATGAAAGCCCTTCAGTTTGTAGAAAGTCATTAGATTCTCTCTGTATCTTTGGAAAAAACATGAGAGTATCGCCAATACTAAAGAGTCCATTAAGGATGTTATTAAGAAAATATCCCTACAAGTTATATTTTTTTTACAGAAAACATGCCAAAGCCCATTCCACAATAGGGTAACATTTAAGTATTTCAAACACCTCTATGTCCTTGTGTCCTTAAATTTAATAACTTCACATTATCTATCAAATTTCATCTTCATTCAAATTTTAAATTCTTCTATTAATACATCAGTCTTTTGCAAATCACTCAACCTTGGCAATTTGTCATCTCAATCTAAATAGGATTAATGTTGTGTCTTCCTTGAATTTCATGAAATTAATCTCAATTTGTCATTGACAAAGAAAATAAATTTTGAAAAAGCCATACTAATAAATAAACAGGAAATATTTTTGTTTACAAAGGGGATTATAATACGCAGCCTAAATGTAGGCATTTAAATTCTACTGCAGATGTTGTTGTCGTTGTTGTTGATGATGATAACGATGATGAGAAATTGTTGAAATTTTAATATTTTTAACAGCTGACTGGCCTTCTGTCCTTTGTTACATTATTTTCATAAGCATTTCATTTAAAATTTCGTTTTCTTTTCCCATATAATCTCCATTTGTTGATAAGCCCCTTAAAGTATGTTTGCTTTGAATTCAAATTATTTTAAAATACAAATTTCACAATATTTGCTCTATGAGTGACACCTGTTTTGTTTTCGATTTGAATTTATTATTACAAAGAAAATCTAATATTTTCCAATTTCTAAAACAATTTTTTTGAGAAATAAAAGAAAATTTCACATGAAAAGAAAATAACTGAATCAATCCCAAAAAAAATCTAATTCCATGTTATATTCACTTTTCCAGTTGATATGCAGAAATATTTATACTCCCTAAAATTGGCATATTTATACCACCTGGAAACACATACACCAATGTGACAAATTGCCTCCCCTTTATATGTAATATCATATTTTTTGCTCGTACACCTAAAAGTATGCCACTTTATATTGGAAATATTGTAACAACAGCAACGTGCAAGGAATCTCGAGCACTACCAACCAACCCACCAGTCAGTCCATAAACAACATGTCAATGACAATGACAACAAGTTTATTGAAACATTTCGATTTTATATGTCTGTGTTGGTATGATGAAAGACATATGTGTGTGTTTGTTTATTTGTATGAGTATGCCTGTTGTAAAATCGTAAAGTGTATATATTTTTGTATTTTGCTGTGTTTTTTTCTGGTACAACAACAGGGACTTACATAAAATATTTATAGAAAACATATACCAACTCACAGACACACCGAAAGAATGAATGCAATATTTGATGTTCGATAAAAGAAAATACCCTTTTGTAAATACCTCTCAGCTCGGAACCTACACCTACAACGATGAGGGAATTTAAAAATATTTGTTATGTGATATCCACAGATCAAAAAGGTTATGAAATAAGGGGGGTATTGCGAACTTCCAAAAACTATATGACAAGTTATAGCTTTTCATAAATCCACGAATAAAACCAGTTCATATTTTAACATTGGCCACAAAAAAGGATTTCGAAAGTATTTGTCCTTTAGTTCCTCATGTAAGTATACCTTAGGCAGAGTTAACCTAAATTTCATCCATTTTTTGATGCGTCAGGCAATTTTTTTTTCGGAGTTCGGATATATGAAATAAACAAGGTGAATACTTTCCTACTCAAAACAAAAAAGGTTTTCTTGCGTCCCAATCTTATAACCCTTTCTAATCCTGTTTTATGTTTACTTCACCACTAAGCAAGTAACTTACTTTGCATTTACATTTGCTTGTAGTAACAACAGCAGTGACAACAATAACAACAACACAAATAGTAAGCTTAGCAAACAAATACACTGATATACAAATTTATGACAATATTTATAGTTCATATCCGACAAAAGCTTTTGAGACATTCGGATTTGTTGAGGGGCACTTACAAATCTTTTGATGTCAAAGGAATTCACAAATATACACATATATATATATACGTTTCGGTGGAATATGTTGTCACGAACAGATGGGATTTCGAAAATTAAAATAACGCCGACTGATATGTCATAAAGATGTCATGAAGATACAAATTTATGGAATTTTTTTTTGTTTTTTTGACTAAAAATCTTTGAGCGATTTCGAAAAATTGACAATAAAAGTAATAGGGGATGAGATATTTTCTGTATTTCTATGGACGATATTGACAGGTCTTCTGTATACACAAGACCTTATAAGGTCATTTTTCTATAGAAGACCTTTCAAGGTCTTCTGTCTATACATAATTTCTTCTGTCTATACAGAACACCTTCAAGGACTTCTACCTATAGAAGACCTTCAAAGGTCTCATGTCCTTAAAAGAAAAAAAAAAAATAGAAGACGTTTATAGTTCTGTCTATAGAAGACCTTGAAAGGTATTATTTCTACAGAAGACCTTGAAAGGTATTCTTTCTACAGTAGACCTTGAAAGGTCTTCTTTCTATAGAAGACCTTGAAAGGTCTTCTTTCTATAGAAGTCCTTGAAAGGTCTTCTTTCTATAGAAGTCCTTGAAAGGTCTTCGTTCTATAGAGAACCTTGAAAGGTCTTCTTTCCATACTAGACGTTGAAAGGTCTTCTGTCCATAGAAGACGTTGAAAGGTCTTCTGTCCATAGAAGACCTTAAAAAGTCCTCTGTCCATAGAAGACCTTAAAAGGTCTTCTCTCTATAGAATACCTTGAAAGGTCTTCTGTCTATAGAAGACCTTGAAAGGTCTTCTTTCTATAGAAGACCTTGAAAGGTCTTCTGTCTATAGAAGACCTTGAAAGGTCTTCTTTCTATAGAAGACCTTGAAAAGTCTTCTTTCTATAGAAGACCTTGAAAAGTATTTTTTCTATAGAAGACCTTAAAACGCCTTCTGTCCATAGAAAACCTTAAAAGTTCTTCTGTCTGTGGAAGACCTTAAAAGGTCTTCTGTCCATAGAAGACCTTAATACGTCTTCTGTCCATAGAAGACCTTAACACATCTTCTGTCCTTAGAAGACCTTACTACGTCTTCTGTCCTTAGAAGACCTTAATACGTCTTCTGTCCTTAGAAGACCTTAATATGTCTTCTGTCCATAGAAGACCTTAATACGTCTTCTGTCCATAGAAGACCTTAAAACGTCTTCTGTCCATAGAATACCTTAAAAGGTCTTCTGTCCGTAGAACACCTTAAAAGGTCTTCTGTCCGTAGAAGACCTTAAAAGGTCTTCTGTCCATAGAAGACCTTCAAAAATCTTCTGCCCGTATAAGTCCTTCAAAGGTCTTCTGCCCGTATAAGTCTTCTACCCGTATAAGTCCTTCAAAGGTCTTCTGTTCAGAGAAGACCTGGAA